TTCCCTGACTTTCACCACCAGGTCCAGGAGAGAAGCAGTGCAGTGCTCATCTCGCAAAAGAGACTCCCACGCTAAGTGAAGGGGGAAAGGATTGAGTGACCGAACTCTCTTCCCTTTTGTCAAGATGTTTTCCCTCTTACTACACAGCCTTTAGTGTTCCTTTTCTTTAAGTCCAGAGCTTCGGGTGGATTTCCTTAAGGAAGCACTAAAATTTATGAAAAGCATTCTATGTGTAAACCATCAGTATGGCACAGTAAGATATATGAAGACAAATAAAACAGCCACCCAGTTAATATAACACTCGTATCTTAATAGGGCGACTTGGTCATTTATCCAGTTAAGGGTAAAAGTGTACGTTTCATGGAGGTAACATTTTTATAGGCTTGAGATGAGACAGAACTTGTGTCTGTGATAAACATAAAGGATGACAAAGAAGTGGCATCTGAATAAATCTTGAAGGGTTATTTCGTATTGTATCAATCGGCTATCAAGCTTACATCCACAGAACTGGAAGACAGGTTTCATAGAATAAATACTGTAAATCTGTGGGTAATTCAAAAATCCTTTTGTATTTAGTATTTTGGCATATCATACAGTTCTCTGTACCTAATTACAGTAATCAGGCTAATACCAAATTAAATCATGTTCAGAAAATACAAACTAAGAATGCTGGAGAGCAAATACGTAACGAGGGAAAGCCCCAGGAAAAGATGTCGTGCCTAATAGGGAATTGAAACTCTACCTACAGGGAGAAGCCAACGTTTCTTCTCATGTGCCAACACATACTGGTGGACAATGGCAGCCTACAACGGTGGTGCTCAAGTGTGCTTCTGGACCACCTGCGTCAGGATCACCTGGGAACTTGTTAGGAATGCAAATCCTCAGGGCCCCTCTCAGACTTGCTGAATCAGAAACTCTGGGGGTGGGCAATGTGGGTTTTCATCAGCCCTCAAGGCTACCCCGGTGTTCACTCGAATTTGGAAACTATTGGTCCGAAGGACTGTGTTGGATAAAATTCTGATGCTGGGTTGGGTCCCCTAGAAAATATCACTGTTCTGATAAAGAATGTCCGTCCCAGGCAAGGAGTCAGGAATGGGAGCTTGTGTGATAGTAGTTACAATCCCTGCCTAAAATCAACAGTGCTCACGTGAATGCTGTCCGTCCTTGAGTGGTCTCTGGAACATTTCCCTGATCACTAACATAATGCTTATGAAAATCAAACAGAAATTAATAGAGTCACCGTGCAGGAAGGCACACCACACCTCCAAGTATGGAAAAAGAACTGGCTGGGAGAGGGATATTTTCTCAATAATGATTAACTTTCCCAATAAATAAAAGAAAACAGACAAGAACAGTCACTACTGGTTACAAAAGATATAGGTGATGGAACAACACAGTTTATGACCTAGATGCCTTACTAGGTATTATATTTGGATCATATTAAGTTTACACAAGATAAAGTCAAAGTCATATGATGTTTAATTCTGATGAAACTACTCAGAGATGACAATGGCTGGGATGACAGCACAGACTACAGTTTCTTTTTTGTCTCTAAATGGGGAAGGTATGGAGCAAGAACATACATGCCCCATTCTTCTGGTCATTTTCTGATGTGTGCAATATCTTCTTCTTCATCATCTACTAAGTTTACTGACCATCTATTAGGAATGTGCTGTAAGTGTATCATTACGATATGTCAAGCGTGGTGGAGCTCACTCACTCTGGGAGAAAGATCCAGAGAAGGTCGGTAAAAAGAGGGTAGCTGGTTTGTATAAGTAGTCTAGGGCCTGTGCCCACCCCCAGGGCTACAAACTATTAGAGGATTTCCAAAAATTTAAAACAAAACATGTTTTTTAAAGGTTTAGAATACCTTCTTACTAGTAAAGTTAAATGCACTCTCCATGGAACACACCTCCCCACTCCAGATAAGCTTTCACAGAACAAGCTCAATAATGATCTTAGTTTGACAGAAGCACCCATGGGACACTGTGCAAATTCAGAGCAAGAGTCGGGATTTTTGTGGGAGTTAACTTCACACTGGTTCATGATTGTTCCCTAGATGTTATTTCAGGTGTGAAATGCTATCTGACCATGTTATGACTAACATAAGAGATGTATTTATTAAAATGCATATGTTTATAACTATAGCACATAAGTGGTAAAACACTGAAGTCACACAATTGATAGATAAGAAATTATGATTTTGATAGGAAACACAATTTACCAACAAGTAAAAAATGAGATTTTTTTTTTTACTACTTTGGAATCCTGTATCTGAGAAAATTAAAAAAACACAGAGAGAGAGAAATTTTGTTTAAAAAGAAAAAAAGTAGAGGGGTGCCTGGGTGGCACAGTTAAGCGACTGATTTTTGGTTTCAGCTGAGGTCATGATCTCAGGCCCTGATCTCAGGGTCATGAGATCAAGCCCCACGTAGGGCTCTACTCTCAGTGCACAGAGTTTGCTTGAGATTCTCTCTCTCCATCTCCCTCTACCCCTCCCACTTGTGCTCTCTCTCTAAAGAAATAAATACATAAATCTTAAAAAAAAAAAAGTGGGAATGTTTTATATAGCCTGAAAGATGGAAGTCAGGTAAGATCAGAGTGATAGATGAATCCATAGTCTAAAATATGAGCAGAAGAAAATTATAGTAAAAAAGTTTTCAGAAGCAGGGTCAGGTGGGAGAATGTGAGGTGTGTGGCAGGTAAACCATGGATGCTCTGAGCTTGCAGGCAGTGGATACAGGAAGCAGAAGATAGCCAGAGAAACTATCAGGGTCACTGGTTGGCACAGCAAATGTACAGCAGCTGGGTGAGCCAGCACCGTCCTCTCCTCTTGGTGCCAAGCAATGACTAGCAAGAGCCCTTGAATGCAAGCATGAACAGTGAGGATGGGCAGTAAGCCAGAGAGAAAAGCTTTAACTGATAGGTGGTAACCAGGAACTGGTGATAACTGGGAGGAAGGGAAAGGAGCCAGCCTGAACCATTAGCTCAGCCTGTCCAGCTGCATGTCCCAGTCCTCCTCGCTATCAGGGAAGACAGGACATAGTAAGCAAAAATAGCATCCATGGATGGCAGGACAGGGACACAGAGACAGAAAGATGAGCAGCAAACATGCCAAACCGGAATATCTAAGGGATAAAGTACCGAACAGGAGATTTTTAAATGTATACTTAATATTCTCAAAAACAAGATGACATCATCTCATTTACAAAATAATCATAGGCTGATATAAAAATTTTTTAAATGGCAATTAAGTACATGAATGGAATAGCACAGTGGTCGCAACGGATAAGAAAATGAGAAAGCTAGAAGGCCAAATGGAGGAATTCTCCCTGAAAGGAAACAGTCATGGGAAGAATGAGAAAGAAAAGCTGGCAGACATAGAGGACAGACGGAAGGGTCTAGGGGAAGACACTCAATTCCTTAGAATAAAAATTTCTTTCTTATTAAACAAAATAAATTTTTAAAAATACCATAAAGAAAACTCAAATATATTTACCTGTAAGGAAATGTAAAATCTCTGAAGAATAAAAACGGACATAAAAATAAAAAGCAACAGACTGAGAGAAAAAAAAAAAAAACTTGTAACCTGTAATAAATAACCGTTAATGCTGAAAGTTATAAAGAATTACAAACAGAGCGAAGAAAAAGCCCAGTTGAAAACCGGACAAACAATACAGAGAGAAACTCACAAAAAAAGGCAATACGAATGACCACGTTCATTATCATGAGAATCCACAAAGTACAAATTAAAACAAGGAGAGTCAACACCCAACCTGTGAGATTGCCAAAAACTAAGAGTGATAAAAGTAGATACTCGATGGTGAGGTTGGGGAAATTGTAAACATATAGTAAGAGAGGCCATATTCTGTACCTCCTGGGTGGCAATTTGCCAGGATCTTTTAAATTTTACAATGTGCATCCCCTGGATCCTGAGTTCCATCACCAGATTCTGTTGCTGACAACAGTTAGCTTTCTTGAAGTGCTAGAAGCCAGACATAGTTTTAAGTACTTTATAGAAGTTACTACCTTCGATACTCCTAATAGCCTATAATGAAGGTTAATATTACTATCCTCATTTTATAGCTGAGGAAACTAAGTCACAGAGGGGCCAAAGAACATTAAACAACAATAAACAGAGAAGGGCAGGATTTGAGCCCAGGCATCTAACCAGACTGTCTGCTCTTAAACATATGCTATTGTTTGTAAGATATATTCTCATCTATGTATGGAAAACATACACAGGGTGTTCATCACAGTATCATTTATATCCCTAAGAAGTAGGAAAAAGCAGTAATTGTCAGTAAAGAAACAGATGAATAACACATCATACAATGGAATATTATGTGGTATTTAAAAGAAAGGAGATATATTTACATGGGAAAACATGGTCAATCTTGAATACATAATGAAGCACAAAAAAGCTTATTGCAGAATATGGACATTATAGTATTTTAATTAAAAATATACACGTGTATTTACGTGTGTGTGTGTAAAGGCATAGAAAGAGGTGGAAAAAGTGAATGAAGCAAATCATATGCAGATAATAGATGCTATTCTGAGGGAGGGGAAACCAGTGGGACTTCAGGGCAGGAGGGGGATGGGGTTCAAAGGGTATTTCCATCCAAGTGTATGTTTGATGGCTTCACAATAAGGATGTATTCACATCTTTTCTTATGTATAATTAAAGTAGAATCAAGGGAACATTTTCTTGAGCAGTTGCTTTATGCCAGGCATAAAGCTATGACAGTGGCCTTATCTCATTTAAAGCAACTTTATGTGATTATTACTATTATCATTGTTGTTATTAATTTAGTAACAGTAAAGGACAGTAAGATTCAGTGGATTTAAATACTTTGCTGCAAAGGCCTTGATAGCTAAGGGGTGTGGATTTGAGCTCCTCTCTGTTGCAGGAGATGGGAAAGGCAGCCTAAAATGTAGAGACAAGAGTAGAGAAATGGGTGTGCAGGCTACAGATGGCACAGCAGAGCCAGACTTACCACAGCGGTCTCGGATGACCAGGTTCCGGCCTTCCTTCAGGTGGATGGTGAGGAGGTAGGCAAAAGGACTGGGCAGGTTACTCAAGCCATCGCCGGCTTCCCCAAACATCTACACAGATGAAGAAATAAGTTAAGTCTGCTATTTGGGGACCGAGGAAGAGAATTTCAGAGCCAACGCAAAAGTCACTACAAAGACAAATCTTCAAGCTTCATCTCCCACCCCCTTCCTGGATGACTTGGTTACAGTGATTTATTAAGGCATTCTTTATGTTTCTCCCCAGTGGGGTTTTTATCAGAATTCCTGATAATGTCTTTGCAGTATTAACTCTGCCCCCCAAAATCACACAAGTGGTAGGCCGGTATCTGAAATATCCTTAAGCTCAGTGATTTCCTGCAGAACTCATGGTGGAGCCTGGTGGAAGTAGCACGTGTGGTGTCCACATGTGTCCCACAGACATGTATCCATACTCAGATGCAAAGTCGCTTCTTCATTTTCTCCCCCTTCCCACCAAGGCTTTCCACTCTGGCACACCTCCTCCATGTGTCATAAAAACATTTCTGTTCACGACCACTCCACTGTCAGCCTCCTGAGCCCACATGTCCGTCGGGCGCATGCCGCACCCGTGTCCATATGTGACACACTTTGAGCTGTCTCCTCTGCATATTTTTCCTCCGCTCCCTGGCCCCCACCATGGTGTCACCTCCACTTACCCCCAGCCTTGCCTCCCCTCAATACGGCTCATTTCCCTGTCCAGGAATGCATCAACTCCTACAGGCCACAAGGTCGACTCCAAGTCCATTTTTGAATATTTATTCAATGCATCCAATTAAAGTGTTGAACTAGAGTTCTGCAGTAGTTCAAATTTTCGTCTTTCCAAGGAGAAAGGACAGATAAAGTAATTTATCGTTCACTTATTGGACATTCAATTAATCGATTTTGTGGCAGGGTCCCCCTGACAGCCTTCTTTTGAAAGTTTTCCCCATCCAGGTTTCAAAGCACTTCAGAATGGCTTCGTCTCCTTTACTGTCCCACTCAACTGCATAGCTGCTCTGTATTTTTAGAAAAATTGGTCCCAGTCTGACAGATCGATAGACCCTGAATTAATCTTTTCCAGCTATAATGTGCAAGGCCTGTCTTTGTAAGTGGATTCGGTTCAGTGTGCTTTAAAAACAAGCAAAGAAATACAGATCCAAACCTTTGCTAAGAAATAATATTTACTCTAGTGTTTGTTTTCAAGGAATGTCACTCACAGATTGTTCTTCAAATTGTTGGGACGTCAGAGAAGCATTCAGATCACCACTTCCACATAGCTTCTGCAAAAAAGAAAAAAAATAATCCGCTTTCAAAAAGCAAAATGGTATCAACCTATGGGGATACCCTTTATCAGGTCTTTGCCTTTGAGTCTGCCATCTGCATGCTCAGTTTCAAGTATGCAGGCTGCCTTCCCACATGCGTGGCCAGTCTTGGCAATAAAAGTTTGATTCAGTGGAGTCCCTCTGGCTACAGCCTCTGCCATCTTAGTCATCGATCAGAGCGTGGATAAGGCTGATTCTGCTCTACCACCAGGCTGCTCCGTCATCCCTCGTTCATCCAGGCTTTAGCGTGCAAGCAGCATGAACCATCCCACCAGGTCCCTCCCAGGGTGGGCCTGCCTGGTCCTCTGCCACCAAAGAGAAGTGGGCAGATCATGTGCCAGAGACCTGGGCTTGTCGCTCAAGAGGAAACTTCAAAATGGGATCTGGAAGACCTTCCTCCAACCATACCTTCATGAGTCTGTACAATCACCAACCAAAAAGTAAGAAATGCAAATTCTGAGCAAATGATCTCAGAATGGGAGGGGTCTAATGTTTCCTAATTTAAGATACCTAAGAAATGATGCCACAGGGCAATGAAATGGGCAACGGTCAGTAGTTAGCGTGTAGATACAGCAGACATGTCCATTGTGCACATTTTGTATGCACAAATGAAGGGTCCAGAGGTGCTCTCGGACTCCTTGAGGTTTTCTGGGCTGGAGATAAGGATGGCTGTCTGCACAGAAAGGCAGAGTAGAAGGGAAGTGAGTTAATGGTCTTCCAGCATTTTGGATATGTTCCTGTCTGGCTGGTGCATTAGCCAGGGCTGATTTCTTGTGTGAGAAACATGGGATTTCTCCCTCCAAACAAGGCTGGATAACTCCAAAGTTTTGGGCAAACTGAGGCAGGCAGCAAACCTGCACAGACTGCTAGCATGACCATGAACCTCTAAGGGTAGACATGGGGACCAGGAGCACTGTGGTCACTGGTCTTTCCCATTCACAGTGTCCATCAGGGAGGTCCTGACACAAGTCAGAGATCCTGCTCGGACGGTTCATGCCTTCCAAGACATAAACACACACACACACACACACAGTTGTGTGTCTGTCTGTCTATCTCTCTCTCTCCCTCTCAAGTAGAGCTTCAGGCAGCAAGAGATTCTGGGTTCCCAAGCAGGAGGGCAGTTTTTCAGCCCCCAGGAGGGATGGTAGGATGGTGAGGGGCTGCAGATAAGCTGGGGTCCTCTGGTCCACCCCCTCTGCATGCAGTGACATCACAAAATGCTACGACCAGGCAGCAATGGGCCCTGATCACAGGATGGCCTGAAGCCTCATGTGGCCTCCCCAGGAAGAACAGAGGCCCCACAGCGCCGGCATCTGTGGTTCTCACACAAGCCTCTCTCTCCATCCGTTCTAGCCCTAATGTCCCTTGACTGTGAATATAATTCACTTACTTCAGACTCATTCACCAGGATCAAGGGTGATTTCGGACACTTCGACCTTTCCCTAAGGTTCCCAGCACTGTGGTCACTAGAGTCCCCCAGCCCTGGAAGGACCACTGCTGCCCAGCCAGGAAAGGAGCCCCAACCCTCAGTGTGGGAGACCTGTTAGCAGACCAGAAAAGAGATACCAGCAGGGCCTTCACTTGTCAACCTCCCCTCTGGCTCTTCATACCTCCTACGTTCTATGTAAAAACACATCCAGGGAGGTTGGACAGGATTATCTGAAGACCGCTTTAGGAGGACAGTCAACCTTACTCAACTCCCCCAATTCCTAAAGATTTGCCCGCATGCTTTTACACTGCACACTATTATTTCCTGGAAGCTTAGCAACTCTTCTGCCTGATTTACAAAACCAAGAGAGATCGGCCACATCTTCATGGGCAGAGCAAACAAAGTACAATCTACTGTCTGATCCTCTGTAGTGTGAAGATCCATCAGTAATGTCTCCCATTTTAGAAATACATCAGTGCTCCACTTAAGCAATTCTGTTTGAAGGCAGTTCCACAAAGCTACCAGTGCTGGGCTTAAAATTTCCATTCAAAGTGCACAGTTATTAGCCAAAGATCCAAAGATCGTGGTGGTCCAGAATCTTCTATTGCCAAGGAGAACAGTGGGTGGATAGGGGCTTTAAAGCATCACCCCTCAGAGGGCACACCACTCTCTCCCCCAGACTGGCCTCGCTGTACTTAATGATAGCATTAATTAAGGGACAAAATGAGTCCACATAACCACTGTCACTTACACGCTCTCAAAAATGAACGCAGAGCTTTTATTCAAATATGCGATAAGTCTTCCACTTACAACAACATGGAAATTAAATGTAAAGAATGACATTAATTCAATATTATGGCTGGTTTTACTCACAGAAAAGTCACAGAACTTAAAGTTATGGTTCCCACAGCCACCGTAACTGTCACATGCCATATATACACACCAACGAAGGAAAGCGATCACCATAAAGAAGAGCAGAAATGCTACGTAAGCACCGAGGACCAAGTTACGGCCGCTGGGGGACACATAACCTTGAATATTCCCTTCCATTCTGCATAGAGCCTAACATATTATCCACTGAGTAGAAGTTACATGATTTCACTTCTTGTAAACCTAGTAACTACATCAATGAGTTTTTCTTTGAAAAGAGCACAATTATGGTTTTCCTCATAGGAATCACTGGTATCCCACAATCCCTAGAATATATTTTTGATGTTCTCAACAAGCATAATCAAGCACTCTGTTTTTTATTTTACTTTTGAAAAGTTAACATACAAAAAGTTGACTTTTGGCATATGTGTACAGAACTACAATTTTTAACACATGTATGGATTTGTGGGACCACCACAACAATCAAGTCCCCCGATAACACTCGTTCATGCTATCCCACTGGGGTTAAACCATCCCCAGCCCACAGCAATCAGTTAGTTACCTGTCCTCCTCGTGTACTTTCACCTCTTCCAGAATATCCTACCCATGGACTCATTCTGTATGCAAACCTGACATCTGACATCTTTCACTCAGCACAATGCCTTTGAAACCCATCCAAGTGGTCCTCTGTATAAATCGTTCAAACCTTTTTCATTGCCGAATTGTATTCCATTGTAGACATGTGCCATAGTTTATGCAGTAAGTGTTGGCTTCAAAAATTTCAACCAAATGATTTCCAAGGACCCAGGGAAAGATAAATAAGTTTGAATACCATGAATGCTAAAAAGTTTAATATGACAGGGGTGCCTGGGTGGCTCAGTCAGTTAAGTGTCTAACTCTTGATTTTGGCTCAGGTCATGATCTCAGGGTTGTGAGACTGAGCCTCTCATCGGGCTCTGCACTGGCCGTGGAGCCTGTTTAAGATTCTCTCTCTTCCTCTCCCTCTGCTCCTCCCCACCCCACCACTTGTGCATACGCTCTCTCTCAAAAAAAAAAAAAAGTTTAATATGACAAAACAGTCTAATTACTTAGAGACATTAAAAAATACAGCACCAATATCTTGGCATGAAACTTAGTATAATGTTAGCCATCTCTCACACGACTCTCACTGCTGCTTTTTGGATGAGTAGTTTGTGCTCTTGGTTTGGTTTTGTTTTTAATGACAGAGTTTGTATTGGTATTTCCATTCTACCTAAATAGAAATCGGTGGGAAGGTAATATATTTTGCATTCTCTTTAGATGAGAGTACTCTATCGGCAAGAATGCAAATTTATTAAAATTCAGCAGGATATGAGGCGATATTAGCATGGATGGGGCAATTATATAAAAAAGAAAATCTCCCCTACTCACCAAGGATCTTAAAAGCAAAACACTGATGACAATAAACATTTTCCTTTTGCATATGCTAAGTGTGATCTTGTACAAATACCACCTCCCATGTGGCTCCTCTGAAGGCTCTCACCATGAAGTACACACAGGAAGCCAAATTATCAGCTACTAAACAATCACTGGGTATTTAAACTTCAGTACAAGGAGACATAAACCCACATCCAGAAAAGCTAAATGAGTAAAACGCTGCCTGAGAAGAGCACTTCTACAGTCTCGGAAAAATACTCAAGAGTATGTCGGTATACCAAACAATGCATGTGATACATATGTATGTACTTAAAGACTGTACCCGCATCCAGGTTCCTGAGAATCGGAACACTCTGGATGACAGCATTCATAAACAATAAACACAAAAATCTACAAGACGAAGGAAGTAGCAAAATGAGCAAAGGAGATGGGATGGCTAGACAGACCCCAAAGCAGAGCCTGGATACGGTGACAGAATCCAAACAACCCATATGGCCACAAGAGCACAAAATTAAGATGTCTGTTCAGAAAAATTCAGGTCTACCAAATGGCTGAGTCTATGCATATTAAATTTGTCCACAATTTTTCTAGAGGCTATTGATCATACAGTCAAGGGCTACCTATTTAGTTCCCCCCCCAAGCTCCCCCCAAGATTATTCTCTGTAAGTGATTACCCCGGAATAGTGATATGCAAAACAGAAGTCATACGTGCATGTGTGTGTGCGTGCATGTACATATATATCCTATTCAATCACGTATTGGTATAAAGCAGTGGTCAGCAAAGTCCAACCCACCACCTGTTTTTTTAGATAAGGTTTAAACTTTGAAACACAGCCCTACCTATTCATTTACATATTGTCTACGGCTGATCTCACAATACAGTATCAGGGCTGAGAAGTTGGAACAGAGGGTTGTGGGCCACAAAGCTAGACGTTATTTATTATCTGGCCCTTTGTGGAAAAAGTATAATCAACCTTTCTTTTCATGTTCAGTAATATTTGTCCACTGACCTTCCACACATTGCTTTCATGCTTGTTACCAGTAGGTAGTTTAAAAGAAAAACAGTCCCCTTTACATTTGCTTAGTACTTTATAATTTACAAATACACACATGCTCCTATTAAGGGGCTTAGTGCTGTCATCCATATCACCAATTTACAAATAAGGAAGCCAAAGTGAAGAGGATAATTGGTTGCTGAAGAGAAACTAAAAAGTTAGGCCTTTACTTGGGTGTCCTTGGTCCT